CCGATCAAAAAACTGTGGGGCAAGGCACATCGTAGCCTGCGAAGCGAAGACGTATTTCCGGTCGTTGCTGCTCTCTCTCTTCGGAGGGAGAGAAGCGATGACCGGAAATACGTCTGCGCTTCGCAGGCCGGGGCACATCGTAGACGCATCACAAATGTTTTTATACAACAATTTTCCTCTTATTTTAAGGCTGTTGGTCCAAATCGCTTCAGTTTTCTCTTCAAAATACTTCTGCCGTCGAGATGCATCGCTAAAAGCATTTTTTCCGCTTTTTAAAGCGCGGACACAATTTCAACCAGACCAAGATAGTGGGCTTCCTGTGCATGTTAACGGACTTACGGACTTACAGACTCACGGACGTACTCACAACGCCATGACACAGTGGCTACGCTCCCTAAAAGGCGGTCAGTAGCCCCCAAAATATGCATCGAATGATAAAAGGCAATGATCCGCGTTCGCGCGTGCCATGCGAGGTTATCTATTTCAAACAATTCGTGAACGCCCAAAGCACTAAAATGCATATACATTTTTCGTTTCGAAAAAAAAGAAAAAAAAAAAGAAAAAAAATATATATATATATAAATTTACGAAATTAGGAATGAGATGTCTGATGGCTTGGTGATGAGCTCTTTTTAAGTAATAATGCCACACCCTTTCAGAGGGTAGTGCCAAACCGGATTTAACTTGTTGAGGTTAATTACGCCACACTCATCTCTTACCCAGCTCTTATATGTCTACAGGTATCAGTTTTACAGTTGAAACCCGTTAATACTGACAGTGAGAGAGCGATAGAAAGTGTCCGTATTATAACGGGATAGTATTTATTTCAAGCGGGCAAAGTTATTTGAAACAAAAGTACTCTTGCTATTTGAACAATATACCAAAAAAATAGGCATTAGGTTATTATCAAATTAAACAGCTCTGATTATAACATCTTCAAAGCCGTTCTGCGGCCAGGTCTTTGACCTTGGAAACACTCTAAAGTTCCTCTCTTACGCATGATCAATCAATAACAGTACTTTACATGACTTTTTTTCTCGGTGGTAAAAATAGAGGCCCTATACTCTTTCTCCTTTAAAACGACAAATTTTCATAGCCTCAACGTGGCTGCCAACTAATTTTTACTATTTGTACAAGCAATGCAACCTTTGAAACTTTGATTGTAGACTGTTAAAAATGCTTAAAAAGGGACACAGTCACCTATTGGGCCGAACTAGCCCGTTGACAGACCCTCTATTTTCTCTTCAAAGTCCGTCGAGCGCGCGTGATAAAATATAAACCGTGGGAGATTTATTGACCGCCAGCGCAAGGGGGTGGAGGTTTGGGAAGAAGAATATTCTTTCTCGCGTTCAGCGATCGTTCTCGCGAGCTCGTTCGCCGATGTTTTTGAAAAGAACGAAAAGAAAAATAAAGCAACGTCTCAAAAGTAGGTTGAGTTTGATCGTCCGGGTGAAAGTAGTCCTGAATAGGACTGTTATTGTTGACAGTGGCTGACGTTTCGACAACCTGTGCGGTAGTCATCTTTAGAGTCAAAGTGAGTTGTATCACGTCAGTTGATGGTATTATACTCTGGTTATTGATCTGATTGGTCAATTACATCGCGATGTTATTGGTCGTCTGTGAGTTAAGCCGTGATGTTTTTGGCTATGAAGACTCGTAATCAGTAATTGGTGCGTTTCGATCCGTCTATTGTCACAGTTAAACAGTCGTCTATTGTTAGTCAAATGGTCATTCTCTCGTACTTAGTTTTGCTTTATCTCGTCAATAAGTCGTTTGTACGGCGCTGGTAACTGTTGGCTACGATTCAGTGGCGTTTGTTCTAAGTTAGTAAACCAGCTTTCTACAGTAAGACGTTGATAGTAGTCTGTAGAATACGTTATACATGTCGCAGAGTCCCAGTCAATTTGATGTTTTGTCTTTAAATGGCGCTCAGCAATGTGATTGTTGACGTCACCATTCTTCGTCGCTCGTTTGTGTTGTCGGTCAGTCTCGTGCTTAGGTTAGTTAACGTTTCTGCCGGTTTCACCAGTACACAAGAGCAGTATACAAGATCACATGCTGCGACTGCCAGGCTTCTAACTGTGTCCCTTGTCTGACTAAGTTATTGTTACACTCTTTTGTACTGTTCAGTAGTAGTAAATATAAAGCTTAAATAATCTAATTTGTTCAAAAGTAGTGTATTTTGGCTACGTAGACCCATTAAGTTAGCACTGCTTTTAATTAGCGAATCCATAAGTTTAATGAGTAGGCCGAGGATATTTGAGGATTCCCTACGTAAGCGTTATGGCCAAAGTCAAAGTCAAAGGCATTACCCACATTACCGTCTCCCATTTGAACAAAAGAAGCCCTGTTAGTTTCTGTTATTCCCATTCCGTGATCAGCATACGCACATCTATATCCTCCTCCCCCAATCATCATTACTGATCCATCAGTGCTGTAGTGACACCAGAAACCGATCTTGTTGCGGCTTTGGATATCTCCACTACCACACTCAGCTAGTTCAAAACCCTGTGTTTTCTTGTACTCGCCGCCATATTGAACCCTGCAGCTTCCCAGGCACTTGTCACTGGACCAAACCCTGCCATTTCTGAAGTTGCCATAACTTGTGATTTTGGATCGAAAGGTCTGCCCACGAAAACAGTTCCCTGTGGTTTCTAGAAGAGGCGTGTGATAGGGGTCATCACTACGCGTGATCTTGAACTCTGTGCCTTTAGCCAACCAAAACCCGGGTGAGATCATGTCAGCGTTAACTGAAGGATCAATTGTGGCTCCAAATGCAGTCAGACGGTCATACCACCAGTCTCCTTTGTCATTCATCCAGTGTCTGCTGTCTTTATTAGAGAATCGAGCAATCAACATCCAGCCTGAGTGACAGAAGCGCTATTGCGAATTGAAAGAAAGGGAGAAACAATAAACTGATCTTGTAACGTATTCTCAATACATGCACAGCTGTTGATCCCCAAAAAACTAAAACTAGGAGAAGTCCAGGTGACTTTTGTTATCTGCATGCAAAACATTGTACGTATAAACAAACAAATGAATAACGAAACTGCACATATATCCATCAGGCAAATACGTTCCTATTATATTATATGTATCCCACAATATTCTAAGAACTACTTCAACTCAGTGAGCTCCATAAAATGTCTCCTTGAGGACTAATCACAGAAGTTTGTATAAAGAAATCGAAAAGAAAAGCATGTACCTGGACAAATTGGCCTGGTTCTTCACACCCTGAAAATTGGATTAAAAGCACAATAATGTAAGAAACATTTATATTCATTTTGCAGACTCTTTCTTTGCCGGATTATCATTTTATGATATCTTCAAATCTAAACTAAGCACAAGAAAGCTAATAGCAAACGAAAAATTGACTTCTAGAAAGCGGCCAAATGGCATTTTAGACGCTTATCATGCGAACAATTCAGGTCTGGGAGCCTCCATGCACTAGTGCATACCGTGGCCGAAGCAGGGATCAATCAGTCACGGCATCCTCATGAATGTTCAATGCACCTAAGGAAGTGGACAACTGTTTAAATTAATTTGGATATTTTTCTGCTTAGTTTCCGTAACCTAACTACCTAAGATCACTCTCTTTTTTCGCTTCGCTTGGTGAATAAAATTTCACTTTAGAGACCCTTTCTGAAATTGGGTCTGATCTCCGTAAAAGTTTGTTTTTTGTGTACGAAATATTTTCGGCGGCTAAGAGGAATACAAGAGATAAAGAAAGGCATTACACCTCTGAAAGCCGGGTACCGAATGACCAAAAAACAAATAGTTTCGTTATGAGTTCTTTTAAGGCAGACTAACCCCCCTTTTTATAACTGTTATTTCCTAACTGATATTTTCTCTTGATTCCGCTTATAAAGTGTAGGCATATATGGGGATTGTTTGGGCTGAATATTTGGTCCATTTTCTTCTTTTCTTTTTCTTCCTCTTTCTTTTGGCTATCGTTGATTTTTGACCACTTTCGATTGTTCCCGTCCCTTAAACGCTGGCCTATCCCCGTCCCCTCCTCCCAACCCGCCCCTGGGACCGTGCTAGCAAGAATGTTTCGTTCGCTGTACATGTTGATTAGAAAAAAAAAAGTATTCTGAGATAACCTGTAAAAAATACTTCAGTAGTTGCCTCTGCGAATCCAAACTGGTTGGTTGCACGGCAAGTGTATTTCCCAGCACTTTCTCGAGTCATGTTGCTTAAGGAGAGGCATCCATTCTGCTGAGAAGACGGTATCGATGTTAGGGCGGTTGATGAACTTGACCAAACCAGTGAACCATCTGCCTCACAACAAAGATTCACAGTAGTGCCTTTGTCAGCATACACATAAGGAGGAGGCCTTCTAATTAATACTGGAGGCGCTGAAGGAAAATTAAAATACTCGCAAGTTTGTTTAATCATTAGATGCATAGGAGAAAAAATAGTGGAAATAGCCGCCAAAACTGAATATTTTCGATTTGATTATCTGACTCGTCCCCACTCGCCTCTGTTTGGATCACACGCGGAGAAGGGAACGTTAGAGCAGTGACCAAGGAGCGCGCGTGTGAGAGGTGGTGGAAAGAAGGAAAACCAAAGGGAGAGATTCCCGGCCTCTTAACCTTATTTCTCCCTCCCCCTCCCATCACTGCTCGCGGTCCCATTGAACGAACTATTCTCGTTAAGTATGTGCGCGGCGGACACGTTGGAGCTATAAACAATAAAAAAGATATTCGCATGACAATGAAATTTTTTCCCCAAAGGAAAACCGTGTTATTGTTTTTCTCCTCCAACATGGCCGCGACGAACATACTCCATAGGGGACGAGTCAGTTTAGTTATAGTGATCCACTCATCGGTTACTGATAAGCTGCAGGAAGAAAACAATCGCCAAAATTAAAAAGATAGCTTCAATAACAAATGATCACCGGATAAAAACCTGGACCGCGACAAAACGGCGTTAGAATAAAAAAAACGGACATAACAAGACAACCTGAGTTTAAAAAGAAGAGAAGTAAAAATTATACAAAATATTTCACCTTTAATTCCTAAAATAGTGACGGCTCGAAATATTCCATAACTAGTGAAGACTGTACACAAGTATGATCCAGTATGTGACCTCTGGGCATTAGTGATGTGAAGAACACCATTCTCTGCAGTGATGCCACGATGCAAGTTACCTCCAAGCTTACGCCATGTTATTTTCTTAGACAGGTGTCCTTGCACCCAGCAATAAAATGTTGCAGACTTGTTCACAAACACATACTGAGATTCCGGAAAAACAAGTATCTTAGGAGGGACTACACATTCTCCTTTTGGTCCTTGAATACCAGTAAAGCCCCTGTTTCCTTTGTTCCCTTTTAATCCAGCGGATCCTTTGAAACCTGTTGGGCCCATAGGTCCAGTGTCTCCTTTTGCCCCAGGGGACCCAACAGCCCCTACTTCACCTTTTTCGCCCTTGACTCCCTGCGGTCCTGTAGGCCCTAGTTTTCCTCTGACGCCTTGAGCTCCTGTTAGCCCTTTAGGACCAAGAGGGCCAGTTTTCCCAGGTGCTCCTTTTTCTCCCTTGTATCCAGGGTACCCAGGAGCACCCGGTACTCCCTGGGGTCCCTGTTGACCTGTCTGACAGATCTTATCAGTGGTGGCGCACGCTTGAGTAATTTTCCCGTTGATTTCCTGGCGGGGTTGCTGTAAAGATATAACACCAGGCGTAGGGGCAACATTTCTCCTTTTTCGTCGATCCTGATCTACAGCACGTTCTACGGTTTCTTGAGAAATGGCTGAAAATGCAAAATAGCAACTGGCTAATTGAAAGCGACAGAAAATTACTCTATTCCTATTATTGGTGTTGCTTTACTATTGGCGCATCTTTGCTTGTTTGCTTTTGCGTGTGGATGTGTTTTTTTTCACCTTAGATTCTCTTTTGGCACACCGTATATCAATCAAGTTTTGCGTGTAATTTTCGCATAAGTTCTTCTTTCTCCGCGCATGCGTGGTTAAATTAATACATGTTTTGCCTTTTCTCGTCTTGTTTCAGCCAGAAATTTCCTATTGTCGTCTATTTTGTACTTTTCGTTGTTGGCTGATATTTTTTAGGTTTTCTAAGTTATTTTATCATTCTTAATTTATTATTGTTTATTACCCCTCTATACTCTACATATCATGATCATGGCACTTGGTTCGTTCGACTACAGTTATGTTATTTAGAATGAAGTCTGCTATTGTATTTGGAGACGCTCAGCAAGTCTGTGATTTGTTTTAGCTTGAGTGAGTCGCAATGTAGTGGCCAAAGGTTGGGGCGTGGAAGAACGTCAAGTTCATTGTACCTCGTTGTAACATGACTTTACTCAGTCATCTCAGAGAAATAAACAAGGTCCGGATGGTAAAGAGGCGAATTGAGACTCAGACCGCAGACAGAAACAAACTCGTCTGCGAAGTGAGACGCAACACAAACATTCGTTTACCTCGAGTATTGCCCTTTAATTTTGCAACTAATTAAGTATTCGTGGTTTCGAAACTCAACGCCGAAACATCAACCAGACCAAGCGTTTTTTTTTCAGTTCTGTTGCTATATAGGGCACTGCAAGCATCAACTTGGTTTATAGCCAAAGCGCGGATCAAAGCACGCTTTGAAAGGTCCATGCGCGATCCACGCGCGACGTGATAATAAACCTCGCTTTGCATGGCCGTTGGCTACAAAGAACCCAAGCAATGCGTTTCCTCATCATACAATGTTCTTAGTAAAAACCTTTAAGAGACCTATCGAGTTCCTCATTAGAAACTTAAGGAGACTCATTCCATTCACCCAACTGAGACTGTTATGATCAACATTCCAATGTATTATAAACGCGGCATACAAACCCAGGCGGCGGGGGGGGGGGGGTACTTTCCTATAAGAGACTAATGGGGATGTGCCGCTGGATGGGGTCGCATTTTCACGACTGGATTGACTTTTATGGGGTCGCATTTTCAATAGAGTTACTAGAATGGGATCGCACATTTTCTGATTTTTGGGGTAAGACAGTTCTTCATATTTACGGTAAGCAAACGTACCAGAGTGTTTGTACTGTAGGTGAAAAGTAAAGTGTTCTTCATTCAATGTAAGGTAGATACATAAATAGATAGTGACTAAGTTGGGATGGCGAAAATTGCATATTTGCCCAAAAGTGACTAAGATGGGGTCTATAATTGGCCACAAAATAGACTATAATGAGGCCGGCCGCACATACCCAGCAAAAATTAACCCAAGGACTCCCCCCGGGCACGCAAGTCATTAGTCGCAACTAAGAATATGTGTGGTTTTTGCTGCCCACGCCAAGATAAGACAGCTTTCTATGATTAGAGTGATCCTTCAAGAATAAGTAGTCTAACTAGAAATTAATAGAGATAACAATGAAGCGGCGGTCCTTCTATGGAATCTTCGCTCTTCCAGCTGCGCCTCCGGCAAAAAAAGCAGCTTTAGACCTACCTATGCTTGCATAATTTCCTAAAATTGAATTTCGTGTCGTCGGGTTTCGCTCTGTCTTTAACAATCCCTTCACAATAGTCAGCACTTTCTCTTGCATTTCGTCTTCGATTCGCTGAATGCGTTTTTCAAGTTTTGCTTCCGTCACCTCTGCCCTCCTATGAACAACCTCAATCCTCACAAACATCAGTGCAAAGAGAACCAGCGAAAGGACAGAAATCACCAATGAGTCTTTTTTGGGAAATCTGTTCATGCTACTTTTGGCCGAGTTTGATGATTTGATCTCTCCATCCATTGTGTCTTTTAAATGAAATGATCGCTCACTGCGTTTGGAGCTCGAGCAAAGGGCAACCAAGGTCTGACACTGAAATCTATCGTGTGCGCAAAGATATCGGTTCCTAGGGGCTATTTAACTCATATTACAAGGATATCGGTTACTAGTAGATATATCATAAGCACCTAGAGATAAAAACAGCAAGCCAAACGTCCTGAAAATTGGCTTGTCTGAAATAAATTAAAACTTTGTGTGTCCTAGACGGAGCTTGAGCTTTTATCATTACTGTTTTTATTTTTAAACGTTATTATAATTATTTTCATTATCATCGCCATTATCGTTATCATTATCATAATCATTATTAAAACTGGAAAAGAACTGGTGGAGTTTATAAGAGTACTTTGTGAAATGTGCCCAAGTTTGAGCAACACAATAGATACATATCTGCAGTATAGCGAGGCGCTATTTACCTATTAAAGGCAGCTAAAATTTAAAAAGCCAAATCAAAAGAGTTAAAATCCTTTATTGATTGTTTGACGGCAGACCTCCTTTTTTTTCTTTAAATTGTTCCGCTAATCTGTTCCTATCCTTGGACATCCCAGCTTGTCAAATAGTTACAACACAAACCAACAAACAACAATGAAACACGCACACATAACACCACTCGCACGCAGCCTGTGAAGAGGTCAAGAGGGGCCACCGGGAGAGTATTGCAGACCCTTAAATTGCGGATTTGGGAGAATAATCTAATCTCTGGATGGGTTGGTCGATTGAATAAGCCCCGTGTAAACGGATGCAACATTGTTGGATGTAACATGTTGCGTCCGTTTGTACACCCTGTTGCATGTTGTTGCTTCGTCTCGGTCTATAAAAAAAGAAAAAAATAACTTGGCCAATATCCAGCCATCTTGACCTCACGCTTGGTCAAAAACGCATAGTAAATGTTATTATTTTTTAAAATCAATAAAAAAGGACTTAGGTCAGTTTAAAAGTTTTGNAAAAAAGAAAAAAATAACTTGGCCAATATCCAGCCATCTTGACCTCACGCTTGGTCAAAAACGCATAGTAAATGTTATTATTTTTTAAAATCAATAAAAAAGGACTTAGGTCAGTTTAAAAGTTTTGATAACATTTCTAGAATTACTCTTGATGATCGGATAAAGTTCTGTTATCCTCACTGATCAGTTGCTTATGATGCCGCTCAGATAGTGGAAACGGAACAAAGACAAGTGAAAAGGAAAAAAAAAATAAACGGGGGTGGGGGTGGGGAGAGGGGGATGAAAGAAGTTCTCTCTCTCCCTCTTCCCCTGCCTTTTCCCTTTGCACACCTGTCATTCAAGATACGGTTCTAAACTTCTATGGACGGCAAAATTGATCAATCTACAACATACCGTAAAATTCCAAAAATAAGCCCCCCAAACTCGTAACGCAAAAAATCCTCCGTTAAATCGCCCCTCCAAATATAAGCCCCCCAGGGGGCTTGTACTTGGAAATTGCCCTCAAATACAAAGTAAAACAAAGAAAAACGGTAAATTTTCTACCAAGAATAAGGCTAGCTTAATCGATTTTTAAATGCATTTTTTTCTCTTACATAAGCCCCTCCGAATATAAGCCACTCAAAAATAAGCTCCTCAAAAAGGGCCTTTGAAAAATAGAAGCCCTGGGGCTTATTTTCGGAATTTTACGGTAATTGCACCCAAAACTACAAATCATAATTCAATATCATCTTTTTATTGACTCTTTACTACAGTTGTACAAGTGTTCTAAGGTATTATTTAATAACTGTCAGACACTCTAGCCAGTGCAGCATGTATAATTTAGTGAAATGACGTTTAACGCACACTAATTACATAAAAAAAAAAAATAAAAATAATAATAATAATTTATAATAATTGAATTGAAATCCTACTGTTCAAATCAAAGATGAAACGTTTGCAAAGTGTACTATCACCACAAGAAATTTACCACTACTTCTCCTTTGGTACAGCTATGCAGTTCAGTTGTTTCTAGAAGGTTAATAAAGCTCTACCATAAAACTTGCTGATTTGTTTCCAGTGGTAAGAAAATAGATTAGCAATGGACTGAGAAGATGGTGGTATACACTGAAACCAATCAAAAGCTGTCAGCTTAGCCTGCGAGCAAGATCTCAATTTAGGGCAAGCAGAAATGAAAATAAATTATTTATCAAAGATCATTGCAAACCCTCACTTTCTTTCCCTGCCTGGCACTTTTCTGCTTTTGCATGATTTCTCACGACTGTCACCCAGGTGGAGAGCTTGCTCACAGGCTCCTGTCAGCAGCTGATGATGGGCAACTGTATTGATTAATACTTTTGGATTTGTGGTCAAAGACAGTTTGAACATGAACAAATCTTGTCTGACTAAATTCTTATTTTAATTTCTGCAGCCATACATAAACATGTACACGTTATAAGCGAACAATGACGCTTTCACTATATGGTCATGATACCTATACACCTGTAAGTACAATTATAATTAAATGATTGATGTACACCAGGGAAGTAGAAGTATGATCACAGTAGAATCATGATTAAGAGAATAATTCCAACTGCAATTACAGTGAAAGGAACCCATGTCTTCAGGAATCCTCCCAAACTGAAAGTCAAAATCAACAACAATAATCTTAGAATTTTATAGTAAAAGGTACACAATGATGTACTTCATTATTAGTATAAATGAACAATTGATTTGATTTCTAGCTGTTTGGTGATCAAGTACATTGTTTGTGGTCTTCGAAAAAACATGGGGTTGATCACTGCAGGCATGTGCTACATGCAGCTATTTTTTGTCACTGCCAGTGGACCTGACGTGATAAGTGAAATACCTGGTGAATTTGCCATAAATCAACATGAAGAAACACAGCTTGACCATATTCCAGGATGATGACCTGTTGTACTGCATCAAATTCAGAGCCATGGCTACATGGGAGTGGCAGTTGTCACAGCAGAGGTTGTGCTGTACAGAGCAAAAGGCATAATAAATAGGCAGCAATAAACAAACTCTCAGAAATTTGAGACCATGTACACACTGTATCATCATTGCAATGATAAAGATAATAAGATCATGTTAATGATGATAATGATATTGTTGTTGATGATGATGATGATGATGATGATGATGATGATGGTGATGATGATCTGATGATGATGATGTTCATATTGATAAAGATGATAATGATGATGATGATGATGAAGATACCTACAACATGTATGTCTCTCTTATAAAATTTTAATATAAACTATTTAAAAACTAACTTTACCATTCTGTGTTTGTATTCCTCAGAAGCAGATGAGATGGCTATGTCCCAGCTGTTTTGCATACTTGACACTTTTGCTGGATTTAAACGCCAGAACCTGTATACCAGGTAATTGCATCAAACATTATTGTTTTATCAACTTCATTTCACATTATCATGTTCATTGTCAGCTGTTTTGTAAACTTCACACTTTTGCTGGACTAAATATATATAGCTTGTTTGCCTCAAGAACAGTCACTTGTTTCCATTATCTGTTGCAAGGTCACATGATATAACAATATTATTTATAATACTGCTGTAACCTCAGTTGGCAATAATAAAAATTGATGAATAAATATTCTTGCTTCTTTTATCAACCAACTGCTGACAGCAAACTCAAGTTTGCTTTCCACTGTTAAAATAGTGAAGATAACTCATAATAACTAATGCACGAAAGAAGGGTTGCCTTACTTTGTAGGTTTTCCAAAGGCCATATCATCTTCCTACAGAGGAGGAAATAGAGAAAATTCATCAATTTGTATTGTTGTTGTCCTTTATTGTAGTTTTTCATTTTTTGGCTTCTGTTGAATAACACAGTTCCTATGTCATTCTTTAATACTGGGAATGAGAGTTTGCAGGGTCTTGAATTCCTCATTTGATTACTTCCTATCTTGCTTCTGTTTGAAAAATCTGACTTTTGTCCTTTCTTTTTCTTAAGTCCTACATGTATGGTGAGGTTATGACTACAACTTGCACGTCATTAGATCAAAATCAGTTTTGGAAGAGGCACAGTTCTTCTGGCAAATGTTAAACTGGAAGCAGAGACACATTCCTATAAATTCCCATACTTCACTAACATTTTTAATATTATTAGACCTATGCATGGAAAATGGTCAATTCACATAGTAAACAAAATAATGCCATGTGGACTGAAAAAATGATAATACAGTCCACTCCCGGTAACTTAACCTTCTAGACAAGGGATCAGTTATCTGGAGTTCAAAGCAAATAAGCAAAAAGATGAGGAGGGAATGCAAGTATCATGCACACTTCACAGGGATGGACATTGAATTTGAACTGGAGTGATGAAAAAAAGTGATAACAAAGAATTGACACGGTTGTTTTCAAATAAACTCAGTACTTCATACTCTTGTACAGTGATACACCGTTTTTTTTTTTTCTGACTTGTCATCTGCTTAAACCATTGTTCGAGTTATTGAGGGTAGAATAGAAATAACAAAAACGGAAACAAAAAAGCTGGCGGATGTTTGAGTTATATAAAATTAATATACATTTTTTCAAACTTCCTTATTGATGTTTGTTCATTTTTAAACTATTCAACAAAATAATCTATCAAAAAAGGTAGAGATCACGCCCTATGTGTTCTTGTTCATTGTTCATGCATTACCTATACTAGAGGGCAACAAACAACACCAACAACAAAAGTTGGAACCCTTCTCTTTGCTCTCGAAGATGCAGCTGTACCAGTACAGTAAAAACCCGCGTGTAAGAACCTAGCGGTTTAAGAACCTGCTGGCAGAACTTTCCCATTTTCATACCCCAAAATATAGAACCTGTTTTGAATAGCCAAGCAAAATTTATTATGTTCTTATATGTGATTTATGGGATATTTTCATGAGCAGTTTTAACTAAGAAGTATAACTTTGGTGACTTTGTGAAGTGAAGTGTGTAATTGTTTGTTGTTTGTTTTCTTTGGACCAATATTTTCCTTAAAGTTCAGCCATTTGCATTTTTTACTTATTCCATTTATTATTTTATTTTGTATGCAAATATTTCTGAAAAGATACTTTGTTTATAGTGTATATAACTGTTTAGTTAGTCTTGCACAAGGCTTATGACAAGACAGTTATAAATAAATTTTGTATTATAAAGGACCAAACCTGTTTTTTCTGCTTGTACAGGAATGGTTTCTACTGAAAACTTAAGAACTTATTAAGAACCTGCTTTAGCCTAAATTGCCAATAACTACCCCCAAATATAAGAACCTGTTTTGCCAAACTTGGAAAAATGTAAGTTCTTACATGCGTGTTTTTACGGTTACCGGTCGTTTCGATACAAAGTCGTTTCGATACAAGTAGTTTCGGTACAAATTGAAGTCGATTTGATACATACCTTAAGTCGGTTCGATCCACTCGAGGTCGTTTCGATTCAATCAGAACAACTTGCCAACTTTTGAAGATTTAGTCACTACCATTAACAGTTCGTAGTGAATGAACGTTTATTTGACCACGCATGACGATGGAACATGTACACACGCTGACTGGATCATGTGCAGTCCATTACCCTAACGAACAACCTACGAGGTCTACTAGCGATGTTCGTGATACACCGATCACCAACAACTAACAAGTCGGTCCAAATGACTCGTTTCGGAGTGCAAGCTAAAACGAATTCAGCGTAGACAATTCAGGAATCTCCAAACCAAGATCTTTAACCTATGGGAGGAATTTAGGAACGGAGAGAGAAGCGCAAAGCAACTCCTAAGTGCGATCTCTTATCTTATTGCACCCAGCCAGTGAAGATATCAAGCAAAGATTCGGTTAGAATTTGGGACTGAAACTAGATATATTTGAATCGCTTTCTTATTTAGCTTAAAAACATTTAATATTGACTTTCAAAGGGGCGGGTGTCACTAGGACGACCCACACGTCCCCGCGTGTAATAAGTACATTGGCATCGCTTTCTTATTTAGCTTAACAACATTTAACATTGACTTTCAAAGGGGCGGGTGTCACTAGGACGACCCACACGTCCCCGCGTGTAATAAGTAAGCTTACATTAGTTGTTAGCAATAAAAAGTATAATGGTAGTAATGTATTCACAGAGTACGAAATAATTGTGCTTAGCAACCATGTCATGATACTTAAGCACGTGCAACAACCAAGATGGCGGCGTTTTTCCATGTTGTTCCCGATCCCGTCTTGAGGCAGTGCTGTTGATCCCCCTTCAAAAAAAAATGCTTCGACATAAAAGCAGAGTAGTAAGAACTGTAGAAATCGATATTCTAGGGTTACAAAACGTTAGTGAAATGAGTTAAGGCGTTAAGCAAACAGGACTTCAGCCAAACGATGAAGCGACCATAAATGTCGTAATTAGCATTTTAAATCATATTTCATATTCTTCAAGACAAAAAATAAATGAACTGTTAATGGTAGTGACTAAATCTTCAAAAGTTGGCAAGTTGTTCTGATTGAATCGAAACGACCTCGAGTGGATCGAACCGACTTAAGGTATGTATCGAATCGACTTCAATTTGTACTGAAACTACTTGTATCGAAACGACCGGTAACCGTTTTTACTGTACCACTCTTTGACTCAAAGGTCCATCTATCACATTCAGCAATATAATGGAACCGATAAATTACTGCCCAACTTCGCCACTTCAATCTTAAGGTTTATGACTTGAACAAGTGGTGTGTATTGGACATGAAGGTTAAATTCATAATAGCAGACAAAAGAAATGCACACAAGCTACCAGTTCCTTGACTCGATGATAAACAAGATGGCTGACGAAGACGATGTCTTGTGCTTATGCTTGTGCTCATGTCGACCCCGTTCTCACTACCACATAAGCATACGCATAAGCACTAGAAGAACGAACATGCCCGTTCTTCTTGTGCTTATGCTTATGCTTATGTCGCCGGTGTTCTCACTTGCTTACACATGTGGCTTGTGCTTGTGCATGCTTACGCTTATGCGCTAGCAAAAACGAGGCTTGAGCTGATATACATGTCATGATCGGATGAAGGTACGGTGGGATCGAGGATCCTTACCGAAACATAGAAAGGACCAGCGAAGTCTCTGATCACTCCTGAGGACATTGCAATGCCCATATGACCAATAAAAGGAAAAAGCCATCTACAAACAAGATTAACATAAATGGTAAGGATATCATTTCAACTGAAAAATTTCAATCCGAATGACAGCTTTAATAACTACTACTCACGTCAATACAGGGATTGGTGTCCACACAATGCAATAAGGGTATCGGCTCCTCGACACATCAATTCTTGGGTAGCTATCCTCATGATCCATGGTATTTTCGTCAAGTTTATCGTCCATCGCGAGAAAACATAGCGAGGATCTTTTTTTAAAATATGCACAACTACATCGTCATTTTACTTTTTACTTAATTGATGGCTGTCATGACGTATAAAACGAAATTTGGTGCAACCGCTAGAATGAATTTGGGGCTGATTGCTGGCTCCTTAGTTACATTGCCTGCTGTGGTAACATTGTTTGGGATAAGTTAGTGGAAAATGATTTGTTTCAAATGTAACGTGTTGAAAGAAGATGCCTATATATCCAGGACAAAGAAAGAAATGCAGAAAAAAGGAATATGCCCACTGGTTGCAGGTAACTCGCAGCACTCGTTGCTATATGCACCTGTTCAAACCTAATGGGCGCTTGTTATTTTTCGTATTCCCTGTAAACTGCATTTGAAGTTTCTGGTTTTCGAACGCCTCATATAGAATGATCAGATATTCTAAAGAAAGTTTAACTTATCAGGAAGCTAATATTCATTTTAATAAACTTCTTGGGGCTTGACCAATTTGACTTCTTGAAAACATTGTATCATGATACAATGACTGTTTCTTGACAGCTAGTGTGGGGTTTAACGTCATTACGATCAAATCTAAATATTCCTCTAAGATGTGAATTAAATTAGTTCTCCATCAGAAATTGAGCAAATTTCAGTGCATGTTAGCCTGCAGTTACCACTATCACACCCATTTCCTTCTGACCTTAATTACAGAAGGAAGGTCACAGTCACGTAGGGTGAATGGTAAGCAGAGATAGGCAACTTTGTCTATAACCCATCCAGAACAATATTTTAGCAACCCAAACCTGGCCAGTACAAGATCTCATCCCTTCCTTTTTGAAGCCAGAGGACTGGGTTGAAATCAACTCCAACCTCAAGGAGATTGGGGACATTGTGAAGAACAGCTCCCCCGAAAAACTGTCAGGCAACTGACTTACATCCTTCTTGTTTATCACTGTCAGTAGACTGTCAGTAGACCATTGTTTGACACACTTCTAGGGTAGCTGTTATTCACTTTTACCAGAGATTTAGTAATTGTCTCAGCTTCCAATTTTTATCAGCCAATGTTAAAACCTGCCTTCCCCAGTTTCACATTACATTTACTCTATATCTCTCCTACCCTCCCATCCCTAACATTCTATGGGCCACCCTCCTCTGAACTTTGCGAGGTTCTGCAAAATAAGTATTTCTAGTTGTGATGGTATTTAGCTATTTTTGAGGGTGTGCATTTGTACTTTTGTAGAAAACATATTGAAAGAATTTCAGTGATGGAAGACCAGTCATTTGAGCGATTTGTTCCTGAGCATCCCCTCCCCCAGGAAATTCAGAACATGAAGAAAGATGACACTGTTTGTCAGTTTTGCGGCGTAAGCTATCTCATTCATAATGAAATGAAGGCTTTGGAGGAACGAGTTAAGGAAGCTGAGAAGCAAATGGAATATTACAAAGGAAGTGTTGAGAGAGAAGAGAAACTCAAGATTAAAGTTGCTAGCATGGAGGAGGAAAGTGACAAATTGTCAAGGGCGTTACAAGCCAGTGAAGAAAGGTAACAGGGAACGGGTGCACAGGGTACCCAGGCACACAGGGTTTCTGGACACATCTGAGATCCCTGCTGGCAGAGGTGTCTCACTGAGAGAGTGGAATGATAGCAAAGAAAGAGACCTCTATCAGCCTCCGATGCATTCTTTCATTTAGCCACTGTCCATTTTTGTTTTCGAAACAGACTAGGTTTCAAAACCAGTTTTGTTTAATGTGGAATGCACATGCCCTGTTGAGACTTTTAAAGGCAGTGTAGATTTGTGTTATTTGATGAGAAAGCATACGGTCATGTAGTTAGGGGAAAATACCCTTGCTTAAGGGTGCTGCACTTGTTATTTGGGTGTCCTGCATTGAGCTCCTGCTACCTGTAACTGACTGACCACAATTGCAAAAAAATTATATTTCTGTAAGCCCAGTTATATCCCTAGATCTGTTGGAAACTTTCCTATAAAAATGATGATTTAAAATTTATGAGTGAGTGCCTCTAATAAATTTTAGATCCTGGGTTCAGATCCTGCTTTAGCCACAAGTAAGCTGAAATTTTATCTCCATAACAAGTTTCAATTCAAACAGTTCGTAAAAAATAAATTAATTTTCTCTATTCATTTTTATTGGCATTAGCCACATTAGAAAGGAGAAAGAAACTGGAGCCAACAAAATGAGTCCTGGACTTGTTTCTGGGATCATCACGGGGGACATTCAGGGCTTCTGATAAATTATTTCCCGTGGTCGCGGAGCTGCAGATTTCTGGGTACCCATGAAATCCTGCGAAATTCACAAAAACACACAAAATACCATGAAATTTGCTAGAGGTCTTATCAAATACATGTTGATACAACATATTTGAAACTCATCTTGGTTATTGGGGCTGTAAACTTGCAAATTTATCTTGAAATATCATCACCACAATAAGCAAACATTACATTACAATAATTCCAAAACTTCCATGCGTAAATTAATCTGGCTAAATGCTCAGGCTCCCGTCCTTTGTTGTTAACATAGCGAATGATTATCTCTGTTACAAAAAACATTAAACAAGCTAATAACTATTAAATAATTTATTTCTATAGCGCATTTTCCTATTACCCAAATGCGCTTTACAGTGTCAAATATATTATAATCTATACACTAAAAAATGTAAAAAAAAATCCTAAGAATCGAAAAAATCAAAAGTCTATTAAAAAGTCCTAAAAATCAAAAAAAGGAAAAAAATTGAAAGTCTAAAAATATGCTTATTGAAAAAGATAGGTCTTAAGCTTAGCTTTAAAGATAGAGACAGTTGCGCTGCTTTTAATCTCAAATGGAAGCGAGCTCCAGAGGTAAGGCGCACACACTGAGAAAGCCCTCAAGCCAATCAATTTGAGCTTGTGCGTTTGCTGCTCCAGTAGAAGTTGGTCAGCAGACCTAAGAGCTCACCTAGGAATATAAGGACTGATGAGCTCAGTCAGGTACGTTCGAGTCGCGCCATGGAGTGCCTTAAAGGTGTACAATAAGATCTTAAAAACAATACACTGACGGATGGGGAGCCAGTGTAGCTAAATAAGTAGTGGTGTGACATGATCAAACTTTTGCTTGCAAGTGATCACTTTGGCCGCCGCGTTCATAACATATTGTAGTCTCTGAATAAGATAATCAGGTAGGCCATAGAGAAGCGAATTACAATGATCTAAGCAAGACGTTACTAATGCATGCACTACTGTTTTGGTTGAGTCAATACTAAGGCATGAACATATGCGACTAATGTTTCTGATGTGATAAAAAGCAGTCCTGCATAGCTCATTGACGTGATTCTCGAAACTCATGGTATCGTCAAAGATGGCACCAATGTTCCGTGTGCTAGATGTGGGCTCCACACTAGCATCACCGACAGTAATCGAATCTAATGGTGGCTTAGGGCGATGTTTAGCGTGCAGAACCATTGGAGTTCAGTCTTATCATTGTTTAACCGGAGATTGTTTAAAAGCATCCATTGGTTCAGCTCACACAAACAAACTTCAACCCTAGTGCACACAGACACAACGTCCTCCACTTTAGTGGTCTTCATCCTAAGGTACAGTTGAGTGTCGTCCGCGTACATGTGAAACTAATTAATCAAATCAGCGCAAAATCGATCAATTTATAGCGAAATTGGCCCAGAAAATTCCCACAAAATTAACCGTTTGTTATTGATTGTTTTTTGGCGAAGTTAGCGCCGAAAATTTCCTGGAAAGGAAATCCATCGGCTTTTCCGCGAATCTGTGTCGGAAAGTCCCGTGAAATTTGATTTTTTCTTTGTGACCTATCAGAAGCCCTGTGACTGTTGGTCAAAATTTTCCCTGTCCGTCGTAACAGTCCCAGAGGTCTTTGTGAAAGTTAACTTATCCCAGTTTTTTTCTCCTAAAGTGGCAAATGTACATTTTTTTCTAAGATCCCATTTAATTATTTTATTGTGCATTATTAAAGCTTTAAACATCTATAAAGAATGAGGTTTTGCCACCTGAAATTATATTCTCTGGCTTACAATTTTTTGTATTCTCAGAACAAAGATATTAGCAGTAGATCTAACTTCAAAGCAAGAACAGATTAAACGTCTTGAACAACAGAAAAAAGACCTAGAAAATGAACTACAAAGAAAGCAAGACCAAGTAGCAACAGAACAGTTAAAGTTTAGTGATCTTGTTAAGTCATTTTCCAAACTCCATCAAGACCTGAAGACACAGAGGGCAAGTCTTGGCAATATGAAAGTAATTGTACAAGAAAATAACCAAACTGCTTTAGAACACCTCCAACATGCTGTTGCAAATGTAGCAGTGTTAAGCGACAACTTTAGTAAAGAAAGGAGTGACTTGGAGAACAAATTAACCAAGGTGGGTGTAACATTCTATTGATTTTGTACAACTTAGGTAAAGAAAGGACTGACTTGGAGAACAAATTAACCAAGGTGGGTGCAACATTCTATTGATTTTGTACATGTATATGTACACTATTGCTCTATGTTGTTATTTTATACCTTGTAAATTAATGTACAAAAATAATGATTTTGCAAAATGTAACTTAATTATTTCTATTTCATCGTGACTTGCCAGTTGCTATTAATGCTACAGTTGATATACACTGTGTGGAGGTACAAATTAAAATTATGTACATCTTAACAGTT